CATTGAAATTGATGACATCATTGTAAACCGTGTATATCTCATCCCAAACACTTGTTGAGACATTATTGTGATACCCTCTAACACCATATACAACAACAAAAATTTTTAAGTCTTGCTTATAACTGATGCCACTTTAATTTTTGAGAGTCATGTCGATAGAGAGATAATTAGGAGTCACGTTATTGTATTTATGAAGATGAATTATACTTTGGCTGTGATCACTAACTCGGTTTTGGTTGGTGTTCTTGAAACGGTCTCAATACTACTTGTTGCTGGTATTTGGACTCAGTGTTGAATGGTCGATTAATGCTGAAGGAAAATATAATTAAAAAACGACAGTATATTCTTTGGTTGAAAGAGGGTACATATTCAGACCTACACGACTGCTATAAAACCCTTTGCTTGAATCAAGATGAAAGGTTCGTCTACGAGTCGATCCTGCTTTTTAACCAGTAATTCTCCCAGCCAGGAAAGTGCCCGTCTCAGTCAGAGAGAAATTCAAGGCTTAACTTCAGAGGTTGCAGGATCTCGAGGTCATTGTTCTCGTCGATGAACCTACCAAATGGGTCAGCCAGTTTAAGAAACGCAAGACACCCTTTCAAGAGCGTTTCTCCCAGCCGCTTAGCACGACGAGTCAGAGTTTGAAACCATTAAGTATCTTCCGGTATCGGAAGAAAGGCTCCAGCAGATTTAGCGATACACTGAAGAGGACGAGTCTCTTCAAGTGTTAAAGGCCGTGATCCAGAAAGGCTGGCCGGAGCATAAGAGTAACGTACCCAGTATTGTGAATATGAAAGCAATCTTCGCAGTAATGAACACTACTTGAGCATTAGTGAAAATAAGGCTTAAAAAAATTTAGGCCTATACGAGTTTTGAACAGTTGTTTCACTTCACGGGTTATTTGGAACCAACATAACTGGTTATTGGTGAAACCCCCCTGTGGACACATAGTTCGTTTTTCGAGACATGCTCACTTTTTATATGAAAAAATGGCGTGAGAAATCGCCTTGACAGCGCCAGTAGTGCTACTGAGCATGACATATTTCCATTTACCTGAGACATAGGAAAACAAACTGGGTTTGCTTTTTGTATACATGATTAAACTTTTCAATTATTGGATAATAAGGCATTTTCAACTGATTTGACACTTTGAATTGTCCACCATAAAAAGATTTGTTAAATGATGTTTTGAGCATTAGCCCTTCGTCAGAGCGATTCTGATAAAGAGCTTAGGTTCGCACGTCTGTTTACTCTTTTTGATGGCCAATTCACCCTCAGATACAGAGAATCAAACTTTTCTTTTATTATTATTTTTTTCACTTTAACTTACATTTCATTATGATGTTAAGAAAGAGGAAAGAAAAAATAACATCTGAGAAAATAAAAGAGGGGTATTGACAACACAGAATAAGCAAGGAAATTGATAAAAAAAAAAGGAGAGGGGCCGGTTCCAGTGCCTTAAACAGAGAATCAAATCAGGTGAGTGACCTTCAATGCCGGTTTTTGTTGTGATAAATGACAAGGATTTGCTGTGATATTTCACTTTTCTAGTCGAAAACAACAGAGGTGTCTTAGCCATGCCTCAAGAAATCATAGAAAATATCTTCTTGTGATGTTTCCTTCACCCGCACTGAACTATATGTAACACTCTCTAGACCGTAGTATTCTCTCTTCGCTAGTAAAGATTCAAAATCTCTGTTCTAGTTTGTCGGAGCTGAAGGTTTATCAATATTCATTTTGCTCGTCATGGATGCTAAGTTGTATGTGTGTTTCATGATCGAAATTTTAGGAATTTCCTTCCACGAGTTTGTGTTGAAAGTATTTTGTGGGACTGTTTACTTTGCTGTTTGATTAACCCACCATTGTTTTCTGTATAATGCAATTTTTTTTAATAAGGAAACGTGGGATTCACTTTTATTTTTTAGGTGCCACAAACATAAAAGGTCTAAGTGTCAGACAAGATGATATCGTTGTCAGCATTGACGTTCATGAGGCTTGTGTTGTACTATTCTGGTAGGTGTCATCTGAATTTCGAGGGGATATTCACTAAGCCATAACCAGTTAGAGAAAAGCTTAAGAAACAACTTTTCACATTGAAAGGGATCCTCTTATAGATATTTGGCGAATTCGACAGTTTTTACATGTACAGAGAGCAACATTTGATGATATTTGTAAAAGATACATATACCGCTTGTATATATATATATATATATATACACTACGATCCATCAAATATACACTTGAAAGCTGAATAGTTTTCAAAATTACGCCATCACTATTATCATGGAATTTTTATCTTAAAGTGTTTCTGATTAAATCGTGGCCCTTCTCCAGATAATTTCTATATTTCCCTGCCTTGAGAAGAAGGGGGGCTGCCACATCTCCCTTCTAAACCACCCCGTGGCCAGGGCTTGTAACAATGGCTTACTACAGGGAGACTGACGAGAGCGATCAAATGACCAATAAAAACACTTGCAGGCTTTAGAGAGAACGGGTAATACCAATGCTGCAACTAGCAAGCTGCCAGCGGGCAGCCAGCTACCACACAAGGCAAAGATAATTCTCCCTCTGGCCTTTGATAGACGAAATTGAGTCGTAAGTATTTGATCATCGACTGAAAAACCTGCATTCAATTTAACAGATGTTCGCATCCGTTTAACTGGTTCCAACGTGACATACGCTGGACGAGTTGAAATTTTTTCGTATGGAGTCTGGGGACGTATCGATGGATCTTCGTCTTGGGGTAGAACAGAGGCTGAAGTGGTATGCAGGCAGCTTGGTTTCCCAGGTATCGTCACGGCTTTGAAATATTCACCGTTTGGAGAAGGGTCTGGACCAGTCTTGATGTCTTACGTACGTTGCACAGGAAGTGAGAAGACTTTACAACAGTGTCAGTACCGAAACTGGCTTGAGACTGATGTCTATGAAAACAGAGAAGTGGGAGTGATATGCAAGACCCATGAGCTTGATACTGATGTCCGCGGTAAGTATCTGAATTTAAATTTCAAGGCATCCAGAGAGGATTTCATGCTTGCTTTGGGTCACTTTTTGCACATGCTTTTTTAGTGATAAAAAGTGTACAATATAAGAAAGTCAAGCAAACTTCATGAATTAAAAATCCTAATTGTTAAGATGTTGGTGAGTTTGGTCGTGGTTAATATCATACTCGGGTCATTTTATACCACTGAGCTGATGCATGGGTGACTAGTGTTGGTCATAGGTTTTAAATGAAGCATTCGAGGAAATTACTTTGCCCGACCAGCTATTTGGGTATATCCTTTGATAGTGTTGGAGATCTGAGTACAATCTTTAACATTTCCTACGGACTATCAACACAAATGAAATTAATCTTCTTCTGACTCGTGAATGCAAACGTAGAATTTTCACAGACAGACTGTGGTTGAAGAAATTTCAGAAAAAGTTGGAAAAATATCAAGCTTGGGAGAGATTCGAACCCCGAACTCTCATACAGTTAAGTTTGTATAGCGGAAGACGTCACAACTACTTTTATCAAACTATGTGCCGATTAGGATTAGCAGCGTGCTTGTGGCCGATCAAAATTGAGTTAGTGACAATAATGCAAAATAACAGCTCTTTCCAAATGTTTTGAGCGCTGAGACGGAAACAGTTAATGCAAGATCTAAAGCGCTCGCCAGCTATTTTTTGTGTCATTTGTAGTCACTTATTTCGTCCTGTATTTTTTTCATACCTCTCCGTTAGTGTTTTTTGTTAAGTTTGGTAACGTTTTCTTCGTCAATTAAGCCTTCTTGCACGTTTCTTATACGGCACGTTATTTCGCAGTCCTCATGTATTTAAAGCCAGATTCTTTTACGCCAAAGTACCTCAAAGACTGGACATTACTCTATAAGAATATGACACCAGATTATTTCTGTGAGGTGGGTTGTGCATTTCGAACTCGCTATTTTTTCTAGTCTATTCCCAGACTATAAGAGGTCAACACTTTCCAAGCGTTGGTCTTTTGTCCTAGCAACACTCAAAACGGCACTTTTAAAAATTGGTCGGCCAAGGCGGTTTATCAGTCTTAATCATTGAAAAATTATTGAGGTAACCAACTAATTGATTCCCTTGCAAGAAAACTGATAGCCTTGTTCATTTTATTTTCTCGAGATACATTGTTGTTTTATTTATTCGTTTTAGATATTTCAATTCGCCTTCAGGGATCCTCAATTCCTAATGCTGGTCGAGTAGAAGTGTTGTACGCAGGAATTTGGGGAGCAATCAGTGGAACCAGCTGGGATATAAACGACGCCACAGTGGTATGTCGCCAGCTTGGTTACCAAGCTGGTGCAGAAGTAGCTTTAGCAAACGGTGTGTACGGGCCGGTCAGCGGTCTTGTGTGGATTACTAATCTTCGATGCTCTGGAAGTGAAACTGACGTAATGAGCTGCTTTCATGATGGGATTGGTAACAAGTCTGAATCATAAAATCCAAGGAGCGTTGCTAGTGTCATATGCAAGAATTTGTTCCACGCGAATGGTGAGCGCTTTGTAGCTTCGTTTCATTTTTTAAGATACCCTGAATAGCTTTGTTAGGTTTATACGCTGTTAACGTATACAAATTGCCCTAACAATGCTTTTCAAGCTTACTTAACATAACTTGTTTACAACAGCATAAAAAGTCGAGGAACAAACAAAATGAACAAAAATTTTGGTAGACTTCTACTACTACTAACGGCGGATAAGCGTTTTGAGAGCACTAACAGGGCACGGAAGCCCTTGAAGGTTGCCTCTCGATATATTGGTACTGAAAAATGTGTTTCTATGGTTTTATACCAACACGGTTTGCATTGATTAGTTGTAACTAATGTCAGAGAGCCACATTCCCACAATACGTTTTGCTCAAGGAGTGCCTGAGAATCATATGCGCATATGCAACCCTTTAAGCTTTGAAGTCTCACGTGACCCACGACTGTATGCCAATGAGAGATAGAGTTTTAAAATCAAGCGAGACTTTCCTTTACGCTTATTATTTGCCGTGACATTCCCATTCCAAAGATAGAATCTCAATCGACATTGACTTAGAGTAAAGTTTGATTTTATGATTGTACGGGACACCTCAATATGACTGGATCAACAACTCCCTAAAATGGATACCAGGAGTTGCTCTTTGCCCTGTATAAAATATTTCAATTGACCTGTTTTCTTAATGATATTATCTCTCCCGCAAATAAAGGACAGACAGCTTTTCACTCTCTGCAAGAGAAATGCCAACCAAAGATGATGGTATATGTAACGTGCCAACCTTCAAATAAGGGCGACTATACTTCACGGTCAATATAACTTTTCTTATTTCATTCGTTTACACCTAGAAATGCCAGTTAGGTTACGGGGATCTACTTCACCAAATATGGGACGAGTGGAGGTTTATTACGCAGGAATTTGGGGTTCAATTTATAGCTCCAACTGGGATATCAAAGACGCTACGGTTGTCTGCAAGCAGCTAGGATACACCACAGCATTACTGGCAGGAAGTCGATTATTTTGCTCTGTTACTGTGCCATTTTTTTTTCGAGACTTCAGGTGTCATGGAAATGAATCAGCGATAGGTCGATGTGCTCGGGATTTCTTTGACTCCACCTGGTCAAGTTCTTACTGTGCAAATGTTTTGTGCAGCGATGGCACGGCTGACTCAGGTGAATAATAATTTTGCACACACTCATATAGGGATGTAAAATTAACACTAGAAAAATGCATCTATGGAAATGAGATATTTATACTTCGTATTGTAAGCCCTGTGGCGTATACTCTGTACCTTTGTGATGTCGTTGTCTGAAGGAATATGAAGTCACTCCACTCGTGAGTCGAGACGTTGCGAGCGCATGCCGTTAGTCCTCCTCAAGCAGTGATATTTATGGTGCATTTGGATGAAATGTTCCATCAGGAATACGCTGTTGCACGGCTTTCCCACTGCTGTATTTTTTTACGTCAGAATTCATCCCTCCGCAGAGATTTCTACTCCACCGTCCTTGTTAATGCTGTTAGGGTGAAGTCTTATGTGCTTACGTTGTTCCAGAGCTAACAGGATCTCTTGTTCAGTTTACAGTAGCGAGACTGGAGGACCTGCACAAGAGTAAATCAAGGAGCATGACAGAGATATCCAACTCGTTAAGACACTAACCTCCGCCGTTTCATAGCACCACCACAGCACCAACGTTTCCCCCTCTAGAACAAAGTAAAGTTTATTTAACATGACCCCTATCAACACCGACAGTTAAATACATTTTTTACATCTCTTTAAGGATTTGATGTAAGGCTTACAAATTCAGCTGTTAGGCACGCTGGTAGAGTAGAGCTTCGAATTCATGGGATTTGGGGGACTCTTCAGTTGGTTCCATGGTCATGGTATCACCACTATTACAATTTCCGTTTTGCTGGGGTGATATGCAGACAGTTAAACTTCTCTGACAGTATCCTTGCAGTTAGCTGGGCTGCGTTTGGACCGGGAACAGGCCCTCAGTGGTATGACACCAGGGATATACAATGCCTTGGAGACGAGAGTAGTTTGCAAAATTGCACTTATTACGACCAGCCTCAATTAAGGACTGGAGATCATGACTATGATCTCAGTGTTATTTGCAAACCAAATAATGCACAAGCCAATGGTGAGTTATTAACTTATTTCTGGGCAGTTATAACAGTTTCGGCTAAAAGCTAACACAAACAATCAAATCATTTGCTGACTCAGGCCTAGAAAATTGTTTAAAGGATAATGTACAAAAAACTGAATCCCAGTCCATGGGTTACCATGATGCACTGCCCAAATCGACTAGCCCTACAAGATTCTACTTCGGACGAGTATCATTGGAGGAATTGCTTTTGATATACTTACTTTGCACGCGTGTTCTTTACTTTTATCCACAGGGCCTCTTGCCGCTATTTTGAATAGTTATACTAAATAACAAACGATGAACGCAAAAAACGTACACTCAAATAAAAACGCCTTCTGGGGACAGGTGGTTTTATTTTTCCGCCGTGGACCCGCAATTTTCTTACAACCGAGCTATGGATCACTGCAGAGAGGAGATCATTGTTCCTCCATCGACTCCATATAAATTACAAGATCTAATTTTGGCTTTCAAATATAAAAAGCACTATTTGCACTACTCCAAGACTCCAGAGTCGGCTGAAGAAATTGCAGCAATAATGAAGGTGGTCGCGGACGCTACGGCACACCTAGTTGAATTATCAATCATTCTTCACTTATTTGCAAAAATAATGTGAAAATGCATTGCAATTTGCATTAGGCACCAATTAAAAAATGGATCAAAAGCTAAACTTACCGAACGACGCCCCCTGACTCCTTTCCGATGTTGTTATTTACTGATGTGTCCAGACCAATATTGAAAGGGGTAAGGGAGGCAGTAAGTGTTCCAACAAATGCGTATGGCAGTGTCGCTCGTTAAATGTCATACAGAAAACGTGTCAACCATATCACCAAGGGGATTCAGTAGATCTAAGAGTTATATTCGTCTAGGTAGTCCATCGAAGTAGTCCATGGACTGAGCTATTGGTGTTTTGTTCATCAACTGACTTGTGCATAAGGACTATAAACATGATATCGTATCAAATTTTTCAGGGTTTTGGCTTTTCGAAACCACGAAAGTATTTCTCAACATTACCTTATTCAGGAAAATCCTGGCTTTCGTTTACTTTCGACACATTCAAGTATATTGCATATGCGAACTGTAAGCTAGTTTCGTCCACGACGACTTCGTCAGTTGATACAATATTCTAACGAATGCATAATTTCTGCAGCAATATACTACACGTAATCACTCGATAGCGCGTATTTAGGAAAGAAAGAAAGAAAGCCCTTAATAGCATTGTTTCTTTAATTTTTTTCTATCTTTTTCTTCCTTTCTTTCTTCCGTACTTATTTTCTCTACTGCTCAAGTAGTGTTCATTACTGCGAAGATCGCTTTCATATTCAAGACGTCGTTCCTTCGTTTTTGGAGTTGATCAGTTGAGAGAAAACTGACAACTCCCAAAGCGAATGGATTTACTTTGCTTCGCTAGCACTGTTGTGGCGCTGTAGCGGTTAAAGGATAGAAGAAGAAAATAAGGAAAAAGGAAAAAAAATGATTGACTGATTTCCTGAATAAGGTAATATATGTTATATGAGTTCTTTAAATTGTGCGTGAGGATTTTTGCATTAATTTCCCTCCACAATTTTGTTATTGGCTTCTATGAACTTTCCTTTGGAGGAGGTTACTTCACTAGAAGTGTTGTTCCTAAGCTTATATTTGCATCTTAGCCTAAACGGCTTTGAAATTCCGACTAGTACTATAAGGGAAGATTAAAGCTGAAATGATTAAAAGTATCCTTGATTTCAACAATGTTTTTCAGATTTCAAGGTTCGCTTGACGGGATCCAATCTAACTTTTGCCGGTACAATCGAGGTGATGTATTATGGAGTCTGGGGAGGAGTGTTTGGCCGTGGTTTTATTGATGTTAATGCAGGCCATGTGGTGTGTCGTCAGCTGGGATATCCAGGCGCTGATAAAATTTTCAAATACACAGCTTTCGAACGATTAAAAGGTCCATTGTGGATATGGACGATACATTGTAATGGGAATGAATCGAACATCTCAGACTGTGCAGTGACGACGTGGGAAAACCAATGGATTCATGGATATTACCAACGTCCACGTTTTGCAGCCGGAGTATCATGCAGACAGGCAAATTTCAACTCATCTCAAAGTAAGTCAAAATTGGCTATTCTATTAAGTGATAAAACCAATTTTGAAAGACCTTTTTCGCTAGCGTTCGTGTTTAAGTCTCAACGTACTCGAGAAACCCATCGGAGGACATTTTCAATTGCCAATTCACAGAAAGAAGCAATAGTAATGACAAGATATTTTGTGCTCTACTCTTTCATTTTTTCGGTTTTAATGTTATTTCGGTAACTACTTGTTTTGCTGCCTATACTGCTTGTAAAATGAATATAAAGATTTCCAATGTAGACATACAGTAAAGATTCTTTCGCTAAAAATTGCTAAGCATAAAATAATATGGAATATTTACATATAAAAGTCACAATATCAGTTCCTTAACGAACAACTTTTCCGGAATCTGAAAATTAAGTTTTGATCTACTATTCTTAAAATTTTGTTTTAAAAACTTTGGTAGACTGGGTTCTTCTGGATTTCTTTCGATGGCTGAACATTTGTACTTACCTATATACTTGTATACATATCGACCGTATAACCTACATAAACTGCGTCGTACAGATTTCTTTTCAATTCTTCAACGAAGCATTGGCTGATAACACACACGCGGGGGAAGGTGCAAAAAGTGTCATTTACTTCGGTCTTCTAAGACGCACAAGTTCCCAACCACCTGAAGCTGTCTGCTGTACGAATAAACAACTACCTACCAGCAAAATAGCTTAATGAATGGCATCAAGTCATACCTAGACAGAAACCTAGCTCGATAGTGGTAAGATTTCACGTGAATGTGATATTCACTGACTTTAATTTGGGAGAAAATTTCCTGCAATAACTTTAAAGTCGCGATTAAAAATAGACAAAAACGTAATGGGTAAGCATAACAAACATAATCTACAGCGAATAAAAGGAAAATCTTAATCAGAGGAAAATGTCAACTGCAGCTCTTATGTTACTGACAGATTTAGAACCCACTGCCATTATAACTTATGTATTTTTTCAGTGTCGAATGTGAGGCTCATTGGTGCTCCAATCAGTAATGCTGGACGGGTAGAAGTGTTTTACGCCGGAGTTTGGGGGAAAATAGATAGCTCAGGGTGGGACTTCAATGCTTCTCACGTGATATGCTGCCAGTTGGGGTACCCTGCGAGCCTTTCATCTGGTCATAATAATCAGTTTGGTTTGAGCACAGGGCTAGAATGGTTCAGGAACGTTAGATGTTTTGGTAACGAGAGCAATTTAGGAGAATGTACAAGAGATGTGTCTGGTTATATTTCCAGTGGATCAAGGACTGTAACAGTATTATGCAAGTTACGATATCAAGCAGGTGACCCGTCTACTTTTTGGATACACGCTTGTGTTGATACTTTTTCACAAACCGTTCTCCTCAGAATCTAATTTTAATTTGCATTAAGACAATCGTATTCCGATGTGTACCCAGCCTTCCTTTTTCCCAGACTCAAGTGAGGCAAAGGAATGCAAAAAACACGCGAGAAACGATGGACGAGTGCGAACTGTGAGGAGTGGAGATTAAGGCATAAAAAAACAACAACAATAAAACAAAAAAGAAAAAGGAGTGGAGTGGGCTGTACACAATTTTTTTTTTTTGGTTTTCCCTTTTCTGGATTTTCCCTCCCATCCTTCCTAGAATAATAGTGGTCCAATCTTATTTCTTACTCACGCTATTCCATACACGCAAAAACGAATAAATAAGTAAATGAAATAAGTTATTATATTTTGATTGAGGTGGGGTGATCCAATGGAATTAGTGTCCTTTATAATGAACAGTGAGGATTTTCCGACACTTTTACAAAAAACGTGGCTTATATCTTTGCAAACCGATCTTTACTGTCTAAAGCTTTTCATTCCTCTTTTAACAAGCAAAGTTAAGATCTCTAAGAATATTTTTTCCTTTCCGCATTTATTTGCCCAGATATCTCTTCAAAATGCTTGGATGTCAAATGTCAACACCAAGGAACCTGCATTGAGACCGGAGGTGGTGCTATTTGCAACTGCACAGAAGGATTCACAGGAATCCATTGTGAAAAATGTGAGTGAAACAACCTTTTTAAATACTTTAATACGTGTATGTGAAAGATAACCACCAGCAAGCGGATCGTGTTTGGACTGACAAAAACTGATTAGACGGATCTTTATTCGCATATCGTACCTTGTCAAAGGAAAAAAAGATGCTTACAGAAGATCAGATTCCCTTTGTTGGATTCATGCACTAACCATAACTGTAAGTAACGCTCCCATCTTGAAGGGGAATACTACCCTGTATTTCAAAACTTTGATTTTGAAAAATTACGAATGGTTAGGCGTGACCTTTTCAGAGCTCACCGCACGCCGGATGCAAAGGAAATCCATTCCACCCGCCTTTCTCTGCTACCTTGATTGAGCATAAGAAGCTTACTTTTTTCCATTAATCGGTTCAAGAATCTGATATTTTTCTTTCCTGGCACTCTTAATATGCGAAAAGTAGCATAATCTCAGGAGGTGTCTGTACGAGCTGATGTTATCACTTTCATACCATACAGACCAAAATGATCACTTCAGTATCTTTTTTGGCTTGTCTTATTCCTGTAGCAATATCTAATCCATGTCAGAGTTCTCCATGTATGAATGGTGGAAAGTGCTTCAGCAATGAATCTTCATATATCTGCTCGTGTCCCGTTGGGCTTTCGGGGCATCGTTGTGAGGAGCGAACTGCCATCAGTAAGTTTATTTATGTGTTCTTCCCTTGTTGCAAATCAATAGAGCTATTATTATGTCAAGTCTGGAGACGAGACGAAATTGTCGAACACGTTGTGATGATAATGAAAGCGAGGCTAGGGGATTTTCCACTACCGCACTATAGCTTATGTTTTGTCATCAAAGTCACCAGATAAGCTTTTAAGGTCTTA